TGTATTCTCCAGACTGATTTCATCAATAAAAGACAGGACGTATTGCAATATTGCCAAAATTACGTACAATTGTTGATTTTTCGCGGTATTGGACCATTATCATTCATCGCCCTATATTCAGTATGCATTTTTATTTTATAATTCTCAGACAATGGAGTTAAACAGAAAAAAGTAACAAAGTGTGCCACAAGTGCCAAAGTGAAGAAAACGCCCAGGAAAGGGCAATAAGGGGCTTTTAAAGGAACAAGGGAGCTCCAATTTACTGAGGACCTGTAAGAGGACAAGGCACTATGGCGGTTAGGCGTCGCAGGGCGCGAGAGACCGCTGTTTAAGTGGCGCTTATTTATGTATTCTTTTTTTTTTTTTGGGGGGGGGGGGGGGCTTAACTGTGAGGTTATAAGTGGCGAATTTGCGCGCAAATATAACACTTTAAGCCGCAAATGCACATCAGCCCATTTCGGCCACACCCACGCAGGGGTTTACAGTTTCGGTCTGGGCTGACCTGCTAGGGGCTTAAACTATCACATGCCGGACTGGCTCGGAAGTTTAAAATAAAGGTGGGTATGAAATTTAGATTAAGAGCAAGGGGAGGGACCGAGGTCGAGCCGGCCTGACTGAACAGAACATCCTCACGTTAGTCTGTCTGCACGATTAATGCCAGATGAGTCTGTCCCGAGGGACATTACGTCGGCTGCTACAGCACATCGTCTGTGCCGAGGAGGGGACCACATAGGAGAATTGCTGGTCGTTGGTAAATTAAGCTGAAAGGGTGTAGATGAAGCAGGATTAGATAATTGTTGATTGGATTTGGAGTGAGCAATTTTTTTTTTTTTTTTTTTTTTTTTTTTTTTTTTTTTTTTTGAGAATACTAAGTTATATATTGACAAATTATTTTCCAGTTATCTGGGGATTAAAGCATGAGTGGAACTATATTTTCAGACGAGATTTGATTAACAGCAAGGTCAGATTCTAATTTAGATTTTAAAGTTGCAAAGTGCGGACTATTTATGGATGTAACAATACGCGAGTTTGTCGTTACTCTCTGTTTATTTCAGATTGTCCTCAGAAATGTTCATTCAGTCGGAACACCAGAAACGTAGGACAAAAACCGCAGAAAGCTCCGATTTTGGTATAGTTTTTCAGTTTGCTGCTTGTCGCGCGTTTATTTTTGCCGTGAGCAGAAAGAATTTGATTCAGCTTGTAGAAAGTTTAACGAGTTTTAACTGTGGAAATAACTAATTTTGTCGTCTGGTCAACTCCAGGCAAGTCACTGGCCATAATCCGCGAAAAAGGCCGATTTTAAGCCATTTTTGCCAAAGTTGGCAACAATTTTTATAAGAAATGTTCAAATTCGGATTCAACGCCAAAAATTACAAACGAAACTGAGGAATTAATGCTACCCGATGTTTATGGAGGCTAAAATTTCTATCTGCCTGGACTCAACAAGCGTCGTCGCTCCACAAAGCTGTTTACAAAAATGATAATATCTCGCGAACGAAAAATTTCCATGCGAGCTATAATTCATCGGAAAATGCGGAATCGAACGAACTATCGATTAGACAACTTTTTATTCAAATCGAAATACTTAGAGCCCTTTTTTGATAATTGAAGATTTGTAAAAATTGGCGAATATAAAAATCGAAAAATTGGCAACAATGCATGTCCAAATTAATACATTAAATTCAATGATATATCCTTAATTTGTGCATTTTTTAGAAAATTTTCGTCCAAACCGCGACTTCATAGCTCAATTTTAATGTCACTTACGGAATTTTCACATTTCCAACTTGGCAACGCTGTAGCGCGCGGGAAAAAAATTTCGGTGAACGTGCCAACGCCGGAAAAAGGCATGTCTTGTGATAAGGAGCAACATATCCAACTCCGGGCTAAGTCCATGAGGGGGCAAAATCGCTGATTTTGAAGAAACCCCTTTCAGGCCGAACTTGATCAAGGGCACCGATCCAATACATTTTTTACACCGTCCGTAATGATCAATAAGGAAATTCCGACCTTATGGGAATGGGTTAGTCAGTTGCGCTTGTCACAGAATTAGTGTTTTGATGCTTGACTCTTGTAGCTTAGCGAAAAATAATAAGATCGGTCCAAACCGCAACTTTCTACGTTCAATATGAACCGAGATATCGCCCATTGAAAAGTTAGGATTTTGACGTAATCCACCGCGGCAGTGACACCCTTGGTTTCTTCCTCTTTTGTTTGATCAGTGATGCAGACGGTGCAACGCGAAACTTCCACAACATTAAACGTAAAGAAACGCAAGAAACAGACGGATTCGCACTTTATAGATTATCTTATCATGAGATAACACACTCGCCGCGAAGAGATTAGGCGGCCAGTCACTTCACCTCAGTTTGTTTACGTTTAACGTCGTTGAAGTTTCGCGTTGCACCCTCTATATCACTGATCGAACAAATGAAGAGGAGACCAAGAGTGTCACTGCCGCGGTGGATGACGTCAAAAACCTGACTTTTCCAAGGACGATATCTTGGTTCATATGGAACGTAGAAAGTTGCGGTTTGGACGGATCTTATTATTTTTCGCTAACCTACAAGAATCATGCATCAAAATACGATTCTGTGACCAGCGCAACTGATCCATTTTCATTATTGCCCTTAACATGAACTCCTTAATTTAAAAAGAAAAAAAAAAAACGAATACAAGAATTGAGATGAAAAAATCTACAAAATCATAGGACCTTCTTCAAAAAGCAGCAACTTCGCTCGGGAAATAATTCCTCAGTTGGATAGCATTTTGCAGTTCGGAACTACAGGCAATACGGTAGGTTTTCAGGAGAGCAACTTTTGCAAAAACCATTGGCGTTTTTCCTCAAATCGATCAATATGTTCCGGTTCGCCCTGGTAAAAATGGCAAGTGTTAGGTCAGTGAATTTTCCACTGAGGTCAGTGCAATTTGCTCTGAGGTCAGTTCAGTTTTCTCTGGCGTAAGTGTTAAAGCACTTACCCAAGAAGTCAGCACTGAGGTAAGAGGCACTGACGTCGGGAGAAAGACTTACCTAAGTGCAGAGATGTCTCTGAGGTAAGCGGGACTGAGGTCAGGACTTGGTTCAGAGGGTAAG